ACCCGTGAAGTGCATGGGAAACCCCTATGTACTACTCGGCCTGGACTGGCTGCAGGCGAGGCAGCAGTCCAGGAGGCTGCTCTTGCCAATGCCGCAGGGAGTCAGGGGCTGCTGCTGCAGCTCCTGCTTGAGGCAGTCGTGGGAAACAGGCTAAAGATAGCCTGTTCCCGAAACCCTGTTTTTGTGCCTGAGTCTTAGGGTAGGTCGATCTTACGAGGGCCCGAAAGTGGCCCTCCGTTTCAGGCTGAAAAGCCCTGTTATAGGCTGAAAACGAAATAGGGCCTGCAGGCCCTCGTTTTCAGTTTCAGGCTGAAACGACATGGGGCCTGTAAGCCCTTATTTCTAGGCTTTTAGGCTGAGAATGTGGGACGAGCCCTGCAGGCCCGTGTGGCTACGCAGTATGCCACACCCCCCCCCTCCTTGAAAGACCGAGCTTACCTGCGAGGGCGAAGCTGTCTGTCTGAGGGAGGGACCACAGTCCGGGTGGGAGGGGCTGGTCGTGAAGCTTCCTGATCTAACCTTTGCTTCTCATAATGCGCGTAGATCAGCGGTGCGGATGCTTTCAAATCTGCTCCCGAAATCCACCAAGTGTCGTCGCGATCGTTTGAATGTAACTTTGTACTGTCGCGGCTTGCTGCCGTACTTGCGATCGGTGATGACGCGGTCAACTTCCTGATGACCATCCATAGAAGGAGGGTTCTGCGATCGTCGGCCCGGAAAGTCGTCGCTCTCAGCTGGTGTGTATGTTGCCAGCTTCGAGGCATGAAAGACTGGATGGACCGTCAGATGTGGGGGAGTGTTGATCACAAAGGAAGGGCCATCGGGCTCATTGCCTGCGGCTGATGTTATGGGCCATGGTCCAAACCACTTGGGAAGCAGTTTGCGTGAGACATCCTGTTCCAGTGCAAACTCTTCCGCGGAAACCCAAACCAGGTCGCCGGCGCGGATGGGACATGGCACGCGATGCCTGTTGGCTTGCTGCTGCATGCGGACTTGAGCCTTTTGCATATTCGCGCGGGCTTGAGCCAGCAATTCCCTATACTTCTGGACGGAAGCAGGAGAGCAAGCGGCATCGATGTCGGCTGGTCATGGGAGGAGAAGGTCGGCGAAGATACGGCCTTTCCGTCCACCGTGGTGCAACTCGAATGGAGTCACGCTAATCGCCGGGTGCACCGAAGTGTTGTAAGCGAACTCGATGTCGGGGAGGCGGTCAACCCAATCTTTCTGGTCCGGATGGATGAGCGTACAAAGCATCATTTGAGCGGTTTGATGTGCCCGCTCCGTTTGCCCGTCCGTCTGTGGATGCCGAGCCGAACTTGGCTTCATCTTCGTGCCGGACTCCTGCATGAGCGCAGTCCAAAATGCCGACATGAAGCGAGTGTCGCAGTCGCTGACTATGTCTTCCGGTACACTGTGGCCACAAATCCAACCGGTGTGCAAGAGGCGTGCCAGCTCGGGAGCCGTGAAGTAGTACTTGCAAGGGAGAGAACGCGCGTACTTACTCAATCGGTCCACGACCGTGAGGATGCCGTCGTGTCTGAGGTGGTCGCGGGGGAATGGTCCGGTGACATCCATGGCAATGGAGAGACCGGGTTCCTGCGGGATCGGCATCGGGCGCAGCTCGCCGTAGGGGTTGCAGTTGCGGGGTTTGCTTCGTCGGCAAACTTCGCACGAGTCGCAATACCTCGTGACGTCGTTGATGAGGTCGGGCCATCAGAATCGTTGTCGAAGCCGTGCAATAGTGCGGTTGACTCCGAAATGGCCGGCGAGTCGTGAATCATGATACTCGCCGAGGAGGCGAGTCCGAAGACGGCGGTCGCGTGGGACACATAGTAAGTCCTTGCCCCGCGAGTGCAGGAGCAAGTACCCATCGGCGATGCGATAGTGGCTTGCCGGCGGGTGATCCGAAGATAGCTGCGCATATAGCGTGGCGAAGTCGGGATCGGACTCATAGCCCCTGATGAAGTGTCATTGGAGCTCCTCGTCGAATGCGAAGGCATGATGTGTCATAGCGCAAAGATCAGGTCTTCGCGAGAGTGCATCTGCTGCGCGATTGGAGAGGCCGGGAAGATGTTTCGGTGTGAAGTCAAATTGGTCGATGAAGTACATCCATCGTCCGATCGTGCTGCTCACCGTATCCTGCGTCTTGTAGTAAGTCAGTGGGTTGTTGTCCGTAACCCATGTGAACCTACGACGCCCAAGGAGGAAGTGCCGCCATCGCTTGAGAGCCATCACGAACGCGAGCAGCTCCTGCTTCCTTGCATCATCAAGCGAGTTGATGGGAGGCACTTTGTGGCTGAAATACTCCACAGGGTGCCAGTCGTCGCCGTCGTGCTGTTCCAAGACTGCCCCAATGCCATAGCCAGAAGTGTCGGTAGTCACTCTCGTTGGCAGGGTGGGGTCATAGATGCTAAGGACGGGTGCCATGCGCATGGCCGTCTTGAGTGCTTGGAATGACCGGCGTGCGTCGTCATCGAATACGAATGGCACCTTTGGCGATTGTAATCTCATCATAGGTGCAGCAATCCTTGAGTATCCAATGATGAATCGCTGATAGTAGCCCGCCAACCCCATGAATGAACGAACGTCCGTGCTGTTGGTGGGCTCGGGCCATAAGCGGAGGGCCTCGATCTTGGCCGCAAGCGGACGGATGCCTTGCAGCGTCACATAATATCCCAAGTACTCCAGCTCCTGCCGCGCGAATTCGCATTTGTCGCGGTTGGCTTTGTACTTGGCTTGTCGTAGCCACTCCAAAACGGTGCGCAGGTGTTCCACATGCTCATCCAAACTCCGACTGTACACCAGGATGTCGTCGAGGTAGATAAATACGAAACGATCCAGCATGTGTCGGAACTCCGTTGTCATAGCCGCTTGGAAAGTGGCCAGGGCATTCGTAAGGCCAAATGGCATAACCAACCATTCGAAATGCCCATATAGCGTCTTAAACGCGGTCTTGTAGCGGTCCTCCTTCCGAATCTCGAGTTGGTGATATCACGACTTGAGGTCCAGCTTGGAGAAGAACTTGGCGCCGCCCAGTCGTTCGAGAAGGTCGTCGATGCGTGGGAGAGGGCCGACGTTTCTGATCGTCTGCGCGTTGAGCTTGCGATAATCGATGCACAACTGCAAATCCTTGTTCTTCTTCCGGACGAAGAGAATTGGAGCACCGTATGGCGATGAGCTAGGCCGAATCCAGCCTTTCTCCAGAAGGTCGTCGAGTTGTGCCCGAAGCACACTTAACTCTTCCTCGCTCATTCGGTAGATGCAACCGCGCGCAGGTACGGCCCCGTCCTCAAGGATGATCTCGTGGCGGATGGGCCGATCCGGTACTACTCCGTGCGGGCCTTCGAACACATCGCCGTAGGCGTCGAGAAGCTCGGTGATGCATGGATCCGAAGATGGGTCCGTCGGTGAAGCGTCATGGGGCGGGAGGGCGTGGAGAAAACACACCCCCATCTCCTCGATGTCATCTCTGATGATGGAAGCTCGCATGCTTGCGGCGGATACCACGTGGCAGCTGATAAAAGGGTGAGGAGGAGCCACCGTGCATGGGACTAGTACTCCGTTCCGATCACGAACGTGAACGGTGCGGCGGTAGAAGTTCACCAGGTGGTCGTCGCTTCGCAGCCATGACATGCCCAAGATCATGTCGAATTTGGTGTCCATAATGTCAAAGGACACCGCCTCACTTACATGAGGGGCAAAGTACACTGGGACGTCATCAATGCACCGGTCGATTGACTTGTGCGTGTGACCGTCTGCCAATGTGACTTGCGTGGGCTAGGACTTCCTCCGGACGCGTGGGCCAAGGCCGGCGCGCACCATGAAGTCCTGGCTCATGTAGTTGCGAGATGCTCCGCAATCGATCAAAGCGCTGCAGGTCGCCTCTCCGATCTGAATGCGTACATATAACAATGGTGCGTCGATGTCGTCGTACCGTTGCGTCTTGAACTCGCGGTCGATCTTTGCAATGTAGGCGTGAAGGTCGACAACCTCTACTCCGGCGTCCATCAACGGAGTCGGTACTGCAGTGTGCAAGTAATCTCGCAATTGTGCCTTGAGCACGTTGCACTGCGGTTTCGGCAATCGACCGGACCGGGGAAGGGGCATCCATTGGAAGTCCGCAAATGTCAACGCGTCGAGCTCTTCAAGTCTTGACCATGACGTCGAATCCCCGACGGTAGATGGCGGCGAAGCTGCCGAATCGGTTGTCGATGGTGATGAAACCGTGCATGCGGTAGATTGTTGTACGTGGAGCGGTTGGTCCAGCGGTGGGACCAAGTGGACAGCATAGTCCTCATAAGCATATCGAGAACTTAAGACATTCGCATCCTCCCCAGATGTGTAGGAGGCCGCTAGCAAGGCGGCCGAATCTGGCAGAGTGGGAGGTGGAGTCGCCTCACCTCCCGCGGAATTCAGTTTCCCGAGCTAAGACGAGGCCGCACATCCTCCTTGGCCTGATCCTGGCAAAGGGAGGTCTTGTGCTTGGTGCTGTTGCACCAGTAACAGCAGCCGTAACAGCCGCGGTACTTGTACTCGGCCTTGGTCAAGTTGAACTTGACCCATGGTGCTGGCTGTCCGTTTCCGGCCTGCGATGCTGATTTCACCTTCCCGTTTCCTCGGGACTTGTTGTTGCTTCGCGGCTGGACAGCAGCCACCTGATCTCCCTCACGTGACGCTTGGGTGGCTGCCGGGTCTTCCACAATGTTGTCCGATTGGACTGCAGCGAACTGCTACTGTCGCGGACCAGTTTTCACCTTCTCCACATAGGTTGGCTGCCAGGCTGACCTCTCGTGTGCTGTTCGTGATCACCAAGAGCAAGGCTCAATGCAGCGCATGACCTATTGTAGAACTCACGGCGCAGATGCGTAAATGGCAAGTCAAGATCGGGCGTTGCCGCGATCTTCTGCCATTTCGTGAGCCAGTCACGTGTTGCTGTATTGCCCTGCGTCATGTTGAAGAGACGGTTGATGGCGAGTGCAGGTGCGTCGTCACGATGAACCGCTTCTTCCACAGTCGTGTTAACTCTTCCCATGAGATCTTGTCTTTCAGATCTGCGACGTCGACGCCGTGGGTGGCTGCCAGGTGGGTTAACCAGACCTGGCATCCGCCCTTTGAGTTAAGAAATAGGGCGCCGATGTACGCGTGCTTGGCGACTAACAGAATCAGAAGCTGCGTCGTGAAACCTTCCCACCAGAGGACCGAGTCCTGATGCGTGTAGTCATCGAACTTCTCAATTTGAAAATTTGGCATCTTGTAATGCTGTGTGCTGTTGCCATTCTTGTTAGGCATCTGCAGTTGCTGGACCTCGGTCTTCAGGGTCTCCAGCTGATTGCTGATGGTGGTTGGTGCCTCGAAGGTGCTGATGTCACCGAGCATTGCGACGACGTGGTCGGCGCGTTACTCCAGTTGGCGGGTAGAGGGTGCACTGCTGGACTCACCAACATCTGGTCCTGGTGCAGCTTGCTCCAGGTCCACTACACGGGAATTCAGTGCCCGTGTAGCATCCTCGTGGCTCTGCACTGTCCGGCGGAGGTTCGCCAACTCCTGGTGCTGTTTCTTCAGATCCTGGTACTGTTGCTGCAGTTCCTGGTTCTGTCTCTCGAACTCGGACTGTTGGTAGTACCAAGCGTATAACAACCGTGTCACGAGTTTAGAGAGGAACTCCTTGTGCTGCTCCTCCGGTGTCGCGTCATCGCCGTTGGACGGTTGAAAATGCTAGAACTTGTCTTTCGATGCTGGCGGCTTCGTGCCGCTGCTGCAGATCCTGGGCTTCCTTGCGGCGTGCCTGGGTATCTGCTTCAGCTTCGAATTGGAGCCACTGCTTCTCAGCTGCTGCCGCTGCTTCAGCCTGTAGGCGGGCAGCCTCGGCTGCCAGCTGGCGCTGTTCCTCAGCCTCGATTAGTACGAGCTGAGTCTGGAACCGCTGTTTGTAGTCGGCAATAGACTCGTTGGCCAGTTGGCCTGGCATGCCCAGAGCTGCGCCCGTCATGGTGGCGGGGCACTGTTGACGTGGCACTGCTGATGTGGCACTGTGACGTGGCACTGCTGACGTGGCCCTGTTGCTGACGTGGCACTACTGACGTGGCACTGTTGCTGACGTGGCACTGCTGACGTGGCACTGCTGACGTGGCACTGCTGACGTGGCACTACTGACGTGGCACTGTTGCTGACGTGGCACTGCTGACATGGCACTGTTGCTGACGTGGCACTGCTGACATGGCACTGTTGCTGACGTGGCACTGTACCAACCCGGAAATGCATGCAAAGGGTGGGTGGGGAGGGAAAACGCAGGTAGGGAACCAACCCAACAATAGTTTCGGCTTTCACAAAATGCGATCTTGAAAAAAAAAATTTGCGAGATAGAATAGAGATGCGATTTTCAGAAAAGAACTAAATCCCTTTCTGAGAATATGGCAACCTCCGAATATGCTTATCGAAATGTTGGTAGGCTTCGCAAGATTTCGGTCTTCAAAAAAATTTGCGAGATAGAATGGAAATTTGATTTTCATAAAAGAATAATTCCAGTTTCCGAGAATATGACCACTTCTATCGTTATCCCAATATGCCTAGAGAACAAAATACTAACATCAGAAATTTTCAGCTATGTATGCGAAATATCAGAGAAACGAAATGCTACTATCAGGAATTTTCAGACAAAACGAAATGCGATTTATCATAAATTTTCAGATATTTGTTACGTGAAAACGAAATACCAATATCAGAAATTTTCAGGTAAACGAAATGCGAATATCAGAAATTTTCAGATAGTTGTTGCGATAATTTTTTTTTTTTCCAGAGATTTGACGAAGTCCTTCTTGATTTACTGATGAGTAATCAATAGATCAAGCAAGCTGGCTACTTGATTGAGCGGGTCCTCTGAATGAGAGGTCCGCTCCAATACCAAACTGTTGCATACTGTAACGGTGCCGACCAGAACAAGAACCGACCTCTCAATACAAAGTA